TTTTTTGGTTGCAGCCATCATTGTTGTTTGGCGGGCCCGGGCTGGATTCAAACCCACCACCTTGGGTGTACGTGGCTGGTGCCTTAGCCATTTGAGCCATAGGCGCCAAGCCAAAAGTTTTTTTTTCTTAAACCATCAAGTGGAATTTTAAGTATAGTTTGTGTGTTAAGAAGGAAATGACCCTGCTTCTCCAGGTGACAGAATTTGGTTCATAGTGGTCATAAAGGAGACTTGTGTTAGGAGCCTGTTAAAGTAGTGGATCTCTTCAGAATTATCCTCTGATAAATAACTTCAACTACTTTCATTTTCCTGTATCAGTATTTGGGTTGGTACTTAGCTAATATAGATAATAAAATTTATACTTAATTGAACATTAGTAAGGGAAGTGTATTTTATATAGAAATTGAAAAATTAAATAGAGTTTCAGTGTATTTTAATCCTAACTTAAAAAAACTTCAGATATCCTCTTGAACCGCTCTCAGCAACTTTTCTCAAGTTGCACAGCCAAGTTTGCAGACGGACAGCAGTGCTCCGTGCCAGTGTTTGACATCACACACCAGACACCTCTGTGTGAAGAACATGCCAAAAAAATGGTGAGTTCTGCAGCAGGCCGTTAGGCTCTGGATAGTTATCCACCATAGAGAATACGCTGACTGAGTACAGACTGTGTATGTGAATCACTGAAACAAGTTTGTGAAATACTTTTTTATTGCCTTAAGACACCATTTTTGGCTGTTCACCTGGTTACTTTGGGGGGGCTGAGTTAGGAGGATTGCCTGAGGCTAGTTCAAGACCAGCCTAAGCAATATAGGAAGGCTTTGTCTCTTTAAAAATTAAAAACAAGGTCAGGTGCAGTGGCTCATACCTGTAATGCTAGCACTCTGGGAGGCCAACGCAGGTGGCCTTGAGGATACCTTGGCCTCAGGATACCTTGAGCTCACGAGTTCAAGACCAGCTTGGGCAAGAGTGAGACCCCATCTGTATTAATAATAAAAAAAACTGAAGCAGGAGGATCACTTGAGCCCAAGAGTTAGAGGTTGCTGTGAGCTATGATGACACCACAGCACTATTGCAAGGGAACAGCTTGAGACTGTCTCAAAAAAAACAAAAAAATTAAAAACATAACTGAAGTGGTAGCATGTACCTATAGTCGCAGCTACTTGGGAAGCTGAGGCAGGAGGATCGCTTGAGCCTGGGAGTTTGAGGCTGTAGTGAGCTATGATCATGCCACACTATACTCCAGACTGGGTGACAGAGTGAGACCTTGTCTTGACCAAAAGTAAGATACATTTTATTACCTTAAAATACACAATTTGTACACAGCAGATTTGTCCTTATTTCTCTAGGTTTTTGCTTTGATACTTAACAGTTCTGCAAATGTCTTGGATATTTGGTAATTAGTTCTATTGAATAGCTATACTTAATGTTAGCAACATTTTTTTTTTTCCTAAGTCAGAGTCTTACTCTGTGCCCTCGATAGAGAGCTATGGTGTCACAGCTCTCAACAACCTCAAACTCTTGGGTTCCAGTGATCCTCTTGCTTGAGCCTCCCAAACAGCTGGGACTATATAGGTGCCCACCATGACATATGGCTAGTTTTTCTATTTTTAGTAGAGACAGGTCTTGCTCTTGCTCTTACTCTTGCTCAGGGTGATCTCAAACTCCTGAGCTCAGGAGACTTACCCACCTCAACCTCCCAGAGTACTAGGATTATAGGCATGAGTTACCACATTCAGTATCATAAACCCTAATTAACTCAGAACAATGTTGAAGAGAGACAAGGTAGAATTACAGAAATACCTAAATTATGTAATCATTTAAAAATAAGTTTATTTTTATTATTTTCAGCCATCACTTATTACAAGATACTGTGCTAGGTATACTTACATACTAAAAAGTCAGGGAAGATACTTGGCTTCTGTAAGCATTTTACAATTTCAAAGGGTACATCAGAATTATTTTCCCAGTTTTATTTAAAAACATTTTAAATATGACATTTTTGTTAGCTTATTCAGGCTTTGTCATGACTAAAGAATAACTTCTAGTGCTTTTTGGATCACTTTTGTGGACCTTGATTGATGATTTCACAGACCCTTGATAATGTGGACTCTGCCGTTTTTTATTCATGGCTATCTTCCCAGTGTTTTACACAGAAATGCTCAATAAGTAGTTGTTGAATGAATTAATGGTTAGGCCCATGGCTAAATGAGTGGGGTTAAGATTCAGAGCTACACTTGGCCACTAGGATGCAGCAGCCATCAGTAGAAGAGGCTCAGGCTCCAGGAGGCCCAGGCTGACAGGCAGGACTTGGTAATGAACAGGTCTGAGATCATACAACAGATGGTAAATTAGTAAACGTATTGTTCTGACACAATGAGAAAGTTGGAAGTGAATTCCCACTAGGTAAATGAACAGCTGGCATTAGAAAAGCAAGGAAGAGGAGGATCTGGCTCTCTGGAGGAGCTAAGTGAGGGACTGCCTTGAGCAATGCCAGGCATTGACCATGGGTGGTTCTGTGTGCCATCATACCGAAAATGCCACAGAACCACTGGGCAGAAGCTCAGGAGTATCAGGCAGGAACCCCAAACCAGAACCAGGTGATCATTAGGAGTCCTACAGGTAGGACTTGTTAATTGTGAATGAGAGGTCTGTAACTTCTCCTGCCTGCGATCAATTCCAGTGCCAGCGGGAAAGAAAGCCTGGAACGGATACTGAGCATAGTGCTAGGTACTGGAAAGTGCGCATTGACTGTTTGTTAAGGTGAATAGTAGACATAACATAAGCAGACCTCAAGTGTCTAGTCAAAAAGAACTGCCGTCTGGGAAGCAGCCTCTTTCTTTATTTCATAAATTTGTATATATGTGTCTTAAGAGTCTATAATTATGTTGCATTCAAATATTTGAGTGGAATTAAACTTCTTTTAGATTCCTGAATTTATGCTTTAGTTTTATTTTCTTGTTTTGAATTTGTTTGATGCCAGTAATAGTTACTATGCATTTAGTTACTGTATAAGAGTTATTACAGGGTGGCACCTATGGCTCAATGAGTAGGATGCTGGCCCCATATACTGAAGGTGGCAGGTTCGAACCCAGCCCTGGCCAAACTGCAACAACAAAAAGAAATAGCTGGGCGTTGTGGCGGGCGCCTGTGTTCCCAGCTTACTTGGGAGGCTGAGGCAAGGGAATCGCCTAAGCCCAAGAGCTGGAGGTTGCTGTGAGCTGTGATGCTACAGCACTCTACTGAGGGTGACAAAGTAAGACTCTGTCTCTTAAAAAAAAAATAAAATAAAAAGTTATTATAGAATCAAATCAGAGGTGGCATCAGTTGCAAAACCCACTGTTTTGTGTATGTTTTATAGTGCTGCCA